CCGGAGCATATCTGAAATGCTGCGGTGCCTTTCTAGCCTCCCGCTGCCCTCTAAGCTGTTTATACACCCAGTCTCCTCCCTGGACCCAGCATTCTCAGAGATCAGCAGTGTCCACAAGCATCTTCATGGCTGAAAACAGGGCAAAAAGCGAGCACATCATGGACTTTTTTTTTTTTTTTTCTGGTCCTGGTGCTTGAACTCTGGGCCTGGGTGCTGTTCCTGATCTTTTGTGCTCAAGGCTGGTAGTGTGCCATTTGAGCCACAGCTGCACTTCTGGCTTTTTGTGGTTCATTGGAGATGAGTCTCATGGACTTTCCTGCCTTGACTGGCTTCACACTGTGATTCTTAGATTTCAGCTTTCTGAATGGCTAGGATTACAGACTTGAGCCACAGGTGCCCGGCTCATTATGGACTGAATATCTTAAAAGTTCTTTAATGCTTCTGGTTATGATCAGCTGAGTTTCCCCACACGGAATTTCAGCTCCAGTGTATTCAATTGTAAATAGCAGCTGTTACTGCAGCTGCAATGGTGAAAAGCTGACATAGTATCAATGCGGACTGGTTGCTAAGTACAGGTGATAGCTTTGCTTTTCCCACCATTTAATTTCAGCACTAAAAATCACCTATCATTCCAACGTTGTGTTGAGTTTTTCACCAAAGGGGCAGCCAAAAGGGTCTGTTACACAAATAGGACAACTTTTACCCCAGGATTTCTGTCTTTCTCATTCATCTATTCCTCTCTGATCAGAGCCCAGAATATAACTTACATGTCTTCTGGTGATGGTTTGGCTGTCAATGCTTGCTTTTGGTAAATGGCATGGCACAGAGGGTGGTGGCAGGAAGGGATGAGGTGACCAAACCTAAGAGAGACACTGGAAATTACTGTGGTTCAAGTAATATGGTATCAGCTTTGAACAAAAAAAGCCAAACAAGAGGTCAAACCTTGGTAAAGGAACTTTTTTCTATTTTTTTAAGGTAAGCAGTATGTTATCTGAACCAAAGGTTAGTTCATTTTGAGGCTGTCCTGACGACACTGAGCCCTTAGCCGAAGGCCATACCTAATGACCTCTTTTGCTGGTTCTTTGGAGATAAGAGTCTCACAGACTTTCCTGCCCCAACTGGCTTCAAACTTCAATCCTCAGATCTAAGCCTCCTGTGTAGCTAGGATTACAGGCGTGAACCACCAGTGCTGGGCACCTATGACCTTTTAATAAATGTTCCTGCTTGATGGTGCTAGTATTTAGAATGGCCTCTTTATGAAGATATTTAAATACTTTCCAATGCCTATCTTGTGTGTATCCAGGTAACTGACACCAATATGAGGAAGCTGAACTACTGTCTAAGCTCAAACTGGGTCCTATCACTTACCAAGGCAAGTTCTTCTACCTATCCTGGCCTTAAGTTTCTTTGCCTATACACAAAAATGCCTATTGCACAGAGTTGTTAAGAGGATAAATGCGATAATCCAAGCAAATATTGAGAGCAGATTCCCTCAGAGAATAAGTTATCATCATTTGGGGAGCTTTTGGCAGGGTGTTGTAGATTATTTAATCTCGGTTGTGAAATCTTTAATCTCTATAGAAGCAATGTTATAGACACTGCTGCGATGCCAATTATAATTGTACACTGTTTTAAAAATTCACAATGATTGAGCATGAGTGGCTCACACCTGTAATTCTGGCTACTCATGAGGTTGAGATCTGAGGATCATGGTTCAAAGCCAGCCTGGGCAGAAAAATCCCCATGAGACTCTTATCTCCAATTAACAACTCAAAAACAGGAAGGAAAGCTGTGACTCAAAGTGGTAGAGCACTAGCCTTGAGCTAAAGAGCTCAAGGACATTGCCCGCCCGAGTTCAAGCCTTACAAGCAACAAAACAAACAAAACCCCCACAATGTCTGACCTACAACATACTTTAATTCATATACTTCAAGAGAGCTAGGGAGAAGATACGTTTCCCCCCTCACAAAAAAGTATCTATGTATAGTGTTTACTACATATTGGCAAGTGTTCTTGGTGCCAGGATGTTCTGGTGCCAATCATGTTCCACGGTCAGGCACAAAACTAACCAGAGCTGTGCTAGGTGATTTGTGTAGTATGCTGTTTCACTCATGTTTTAGATTTTGACAAAGTACATTTTGTACTTTCATCCCATAACATAGATACAGCCTAGGAAGTGTGATGAAAAGGGCAATGAAAATTCTTCCCTTCATCACTCAGCAACACAGGTCACTATTTCAAAGAGTAATATTTAGTTTTCCACAAAGATAATAATCACTTAAATTACATTGCATTTCCTCTGTGTGTGTGTGTGTGTGCTGGTCCTGAGGCTTGAACAAAGGGCTAGCTGCTCTTTCTGAGCTGTTTTGCTCAAGGTTGGCACTTTATTGTTGAGTCACAGCTCCACTTTAGCTTTTTGGTGGTTAAAACGTCTCACAGTTTCCTGCCTGGGCTGGCTTTGAATCAAGATCCTCAGATCTCAGCCTCCTGAGTAGTTAGGATTACAGGTGTGATCCACCAGTGCCTAGCTAGTTCTTTTTTTGATATTTAAAATATGCTGTTTTTTAAAATTAAAATAGATAAAATGTATAATTATTTACTCTAAGCTGCTGTCCAAGTTGAAAAATGGAAACATATTCAAGCAAAATACACAGATGAAAACTATAGGGCTGGGTGCTGGAGACTTGTAATTCCACCATATTCAGGGGGCTTCAATTTGGAAGATGGAGATTTGAAGCAAACCCCAGAATATGACTACTAATGAAGATGATGTGAAGAGAGATTTGAAGACGTTGGTAGCAACCAGAAACTAGAAGACAGACGTAATCGCTCAAAACCATTACAGGGAGAATTGCTTTTTTAACACCTTCATTTTAGATCAGATACATTGATTTTTTGCACTTCCAGAGTCTATGATTTGTGTGTGTGTGCTCCAGTCCTGAGACTTGAACTCAGGGCCTGGGCGCTGTCCCTGAGCTTCAAGTGGTAGCACTCTACCACTTGAGCCATAACTCCACTTCTAGCTTTTTGGTAGTTAATTCAAAATAAGAATCTTAGACACTTCTGCCCAGGCTGGCTTCAAACTGTGATTCTCAGATCTCAGCCTCCTAAGGAGCTAAGATTACAAGTTTGAGCCACTGGCACCTGGCCAGTCTACATTTTTTTTTTTTTTTTGTCAGGCTTGGACTTTGGGCCTGGGTGCTGTCCCTGCAATTTTTGTTTTCAAGGCTAGTGCTCTACCACTCGAGCCACAGTTCCACTTGTGGCTTTTTTGTAGTTTATTGGAGATAGAGTCTCATGGACTTTCCTGCCTGGGCTAGTTTTTGAATTGAATTATTGGTGTGAGCTACCATCACCTACCTCAGAATCAACTTTTTTTTTTTTTGTCTGTCATGGAGCCTGAACTCTGGGCCTGGACACTGTCCCTCAGCTCTTCAGCTCAAGCCTAGTGCTCTACCACTTGAGCCACAGCACCACTTTCTGCTTATGTGGTGCTGAGGAATCGAACTCTGGGCCTCATGCATGCAAGGTAAGCACTCTACCATGAGGCCATCTTCCCAGCCCCAGAATCAACAATTTTAAAAGAATAAATTTGTTGTTTTCAATCATCAGATTTGTAATGGCAATTCCAGGAAACAAATTTATCCAGTCATTTCAGATTAACAACAGGAAGGACAATAATGGACTACTCTGCCAACCTTCTTTTGTAAGATTCCTGCCACCTTTGACACTCAATTTTCCTTTTACATTCCATTAAATGCTGTGGCATATAACTTTTTCTTTAAAATGTTGATGTGTGTGTGTGTTAGTAGTGGACGGAATGGTGAAGTCTCCCTTCGCCCCCAAAGATACCTCAAATGGTTTTGATGCAGAGGTTAAGCTGAAAGGTATTAATCAAGGTAAAGGGTACAGTAATCTCATGATTGACTGGCTTAGGAAACATACTATTTTCAAGTATCTCTCTGATCTGCAGATTTTCCTTGCAGAGCAGAAGAAATAAACAAACTGTGGAGATTTGATTTGCATATTTTGTAGGTTCTCTGCGGATCCTGTCATTTCGGTTGATATTTTCTTTGATGAAGTTATCTTCATTTGTTCACTCGGTTCCCAGCTACAGCATGAACCCTTTATAATGCGATTTATGGTCTATGTTGGTACACGTGCTTCCTTAAATTCGAGTTACATAAATGAGCTCCTCCAGTCTTTCCAAAGATTTGGAGGCACGCCTGGAACCTAATGTACTATTTATTAGATCAGACCCATTCCACTAGAAATGTAGACCTGAAACTCAGCCACTTGAACTGTTCCTCCAGTGCGGCATTCTACGATTGAATGAAGTCCCGTGGACTTTGCTGCTAGGGCTGGCTTCCAGTTTCCATCTGCCAGGTCTCAGCCTCCCAGAGTGGCTAGGATTCCAGGCGTGGGCCACAGGCGCCCAGCGGCTCAGCATGCTTAGATTCCACCCTGACTTCGTTTTCTGGGGATGTTATCTCGTGGGGACGCCACGACCCCCGGGCTTGGTCTCCTCCCCGCAGGTCGGGGTGAGCTCCCGGCGCAGGCCTCCCTCCGGATGTCCACCTTTAGTCCAGCCCGGTCCACGCCCACCAGGACACCGCGTGGCCGCGTCCCGGGGCCTCCCCTAGGGTCCAGGCCCACGCCAGGCCGCGTGGCGGCTGGCAGCGCGTCCGCCCAGCAGCCCGGAGAGCCTGGCGTCACGGAGGGCCACGTTTCTGGGTGCCGTCAGGGAGTCTCTGGTCTCGAAGGCCTCCGACGGGCGCTTTCCCTCCCCGCCCGGGTCAAAGGCCGAGGGCGGGGTCACTCGGGGGGCCCGCGGAGCCCCGCGAAGGGCGCGGGGGTCCTCCCAGGCCGTCCGGTCGTCGCGCGTCGTCGCGTCAAGCCCGCAGTCAGCGGTCGCCGGCGACGCGCGGGGTCGAGGTCGAGGGTCGCGAAGGCCGCGCCGTCGCCTTACGTCACTTCCGGCTTGGTCAAAGATGGCGGCGGCGCGGCCGCGGTTGCCGGGGTGGGTGGACCAGCGGCGGCGGCGGCGGCGGCTCCGGGCGCGTTGAGGCGCAGGTGAGGGCGGTGGGGCGGGCTGGCGCCGGGACGACGGGTTCGGGGCCGCGTGGCGGTGGCGGGCGGGAGTGGAACACGCCGGGGACCGGGCGTCGCGGGGACCTGGGGCCGGCGGACGCGCCCCCTCCGCGGTCCCGGACGCGACAGGTTGACGGGGCCGAGAGGCTGGGGACGAGGTGCGGACCGGCGGTGCGGACCGGCGTGGGCTCGGGGCCCCCGCGGCGGAGTCGGGGTGGGCTTTGTCGCGGCGTGGCTGGCCCGGCGCTCGCTCGCGCGGGGGGACCCGGGAGCCTCGCGCCGACCCCGGGGCCGGCCCCGTGGTCAGGTCGCGGTGCTGTTTTTTTTTTTTCTTTTGTGTCCCGGCTGCGTGTGCCTTCCGCTCTGGTGCCTCGACTTCCCCTGTGTCCTTTGTGTTTCCGGGATAGTTTTTGGGCGATCGGAAGCTGGGAACCGCCCCCCCGCCCCGTGTGGCCGTAGACCCACTGTGTGTCTGCGCGCGCGTGCATTTGTGTGACACTCGCTGGTGCTTGCACGGCGCGGTTCGTCACCGAAGCCATCCATGAACCTCGTTCTGCGGGTGGCCACGGGACAGAAGTAAACCAAACCGGCCAGCGTCCCCCGACCCCCGAGATTTCTCCCGACCGTCCCGGGGACCACCGACCCCAGCCTCCACCCCGGACCCCCTTGAAACCAGCCTTGGGTCAGGCCCGGACGTCGGGGGAACGACCCCTCAGCCACCCTGGAAGCCGCTTTTCCCCAACTACGCAGCTGAATTTCCTCTGACAAGTGAGGTTCCTGTCGCTGCATGGAGGTTTTGGGGTGTACTTGAGACGTGGACCGCTTTTGGCTGGATCCCTGGAATCCATCCTCAGAACCCTTTAATCACAAGACACTGAAATGATGGTCCTTGGAGCAGTCCTTGTCCCCTAAACACGACTAAAATATACCTCACGCTAGTTTCCTCTGGTTTTATTACTGATTTGCAGCGTTTTCAACACCCACAACTTCTCTTACCTACATCCTTTTACCTACAGTAGCATCGCCTTCATTTCACTTCGGTCAGCACTGTCCCTGTTTGTATGTAAACACGTAGATTCCCACTCCTCCACCCTCTTTTTTGTGTATGTGCTATTTCTGGGGTTTGAACACCAACATCACCATCTCTAGCTTTTTAATTGGAATTAAAAGTCTCACAGATGTGTCTGCCTGGGGTGGATTTAAATCTCCATAAAATCGCCATCCTCCAGTTCCCAGACTCTGAGTAGGACCACAGACTTGAGCCACTGGTGTCCAGTGGTTTCTCCTTTTTTTTTTTTTTTTTTTTAATGTGATGGGAAATGTGAGTAGAAAGAAATATTAAGAATGATGTTCAGAGACAGTTGTGTTTCTTTGTAGTAAGTTTTGTGTTTTTGAAACAGTGCTCAGCTGCCAACTCAAAAGCCACGGAGGCTTTCTTACTTGTAAATGCTGCACTTAGCAGAATTCTTTTCCATGTTAAATCTCAGTTTATCCTTGAGGAATATTAAGGTAATTTTATTAAACCATTTTATTTCAAACTGTGGAACGGGATATAGGAATTGGTTGAGGGAACCAAGCACAAAGGTGTTTGCTGTTTTTCCAAGGCTTATTTTATCCCTCAGCCAGTTGGTTTGGTTTAAATCAGTGAGTACATTAAACTGCTTAGGAAAGGGTCGGCCACAGAATAATAATGCTCAGTAAGTGCTTGCTTTTGTGGAAGGCAGTTTTCTTTTGGAACATTCATTGGGGCTGTTTTCTTCTTTTGTAGACAATGCCTGAAATAATAGAGTGTAAATTTGTAATAACCTATTAGTTTTGTAAGTACAAAACATGACAAAGCATTCTTATTGTAGAATAGTTGGAAAATAGTAAAAAGCACAAAGGGAGAGAAGGAATTGGCCATAACCTTCCCTCTCCAAGGATAACCATTGTTATCCTTGGATAACACACCCCATTGGTGTGCCTTTGTGTTTATACATTTATAAACACAGAGTGGATATCCTATGTATATTGATTGTAACTTGTCTTCACTCGTGGTATTGTGAGCCTCTGTCCATGCCAATACCTGTTCTTCAGTGTGCTGTTGAATGGTGTCTCAAATGTGGATGGGCCATAAGTTACCAATCAATTCCATATTGATCCCTCAGGTTTCTGAAGCCTGAAATTTGCTTTTCATTAAGATTAATTTTTTTTCCTATTAAGAGTTTTAAAGTTCCTCAGTCTTGTAAGATATGTAAAAAACATAAATTCTACTTTTTAGCATCTCAGTATACATTTTTCTGTCAGGTACAGTTCTAAGGTAGCACGCTCAGCTCCCTGTCTTTTCTCAGATAGATCTGTGCAGTTATGTACATAACTGTGAGCACATTTTCTTTTGATGATTATTTCACTTTAGATGTTTATTTATTCATGAGGCTGTCCTTTAAACTGCTCATCTCTTTTCAAGTTTCAAGGAAATGATTCACAAACCTCTTAGGTCCTGCTAAATTATTCTCTAGGATAGAAAACACCTTAGGTTATTGACTATTTTCCTGTCTTATGATGAGCTTTTCATATTATTTTTACTACCCATGCAGAAAAAAAAAATCAGAAACACCACAAACTGAGTTTCCCCTAGAAGCCTCTGTAGTGGGGAGTGGAAGAGAAATATGGACGTGGAAAGGGTAATTTGTGAGGGCCAGCAGCAGAAGTTTCTGGGTGGTGGTGGGGTGGGGATAAAACCGTACCTGCACATCTGAAATGTCTGCTTTTGGTTATGTGTGTCTTGAGCCATCACTGTCTTCACCAACCACCGGATTGTGCTCTGGTTCTCCTTTTGTAGTCAGAAGTTTCTAGTTGGAGCTGTAAAAATCATCTTTGTGGAGCTGACAGGCTGGAAGCTGTGGATGCCGTTGGTTGGGTTTTGTTAAAGCAGGGTTTCTCAGCCTCTGTACTGTTGACATTTGGGCTGGCTCACTCTTGGTTTGAGGGAGAGGGATGACTCTTGGACTCTTGTGCATTGTAGAACATTTAACAACTTCTTTTCCCTACCTGTGAGGTGCCTCTCCACCCCTGTTATGTCAGGTAATAAGTCTCCAGACATTACCAGATGTGTAATGGGGTGGGGCGGGGACAAAAATGAGTGGTCCTCAATGGCTGCATTAAAAGATATATTGAAGAAAGGCCCCTTTGACTGAATGGTTTAATCATGAAACAGTAGAAGGAACTTAAAAGAACTGCAAGAATATATGGTGTACGCTCTACCTGGAAGGCAGGGACTCAGCTTCCTGTGCTGTCCCAGTTCCTTCCAGCTTTTGTTTCTGTGACTTTGTGAATGGTCAGTTTGAGCAGTTTTGCATCCACCTCCTTAGGTGGCAGAGATAAAGCAATGTGAAAGACCATGGAGATGCTGAACTTTTCACGATGGGATTGGCATTCTCAATATGCAGATTAAATTATGAAATTTAAATAAATTTACATGGAGTTGATGCCTCATGAATTGTGTAAACATGTCCATTGTACTGAACAGCTCAGAAATGACTGTCTTCTAGAAAATGAGATTTCTTAAAGAAACCCTTTTAAAATAGAAGCTAAATTCTAGTGGTTTTTTTTTTTTTTTTTTTTTTTAATACTGCCTCTTTTTTTTTTTCTTCAATCAGTTTGGGGATACAGAAGTAGTGAATTTGTCTTGAGGAAAGGTAGTTGGCTTCCAAGCACTTACCTTACTGTAACTTAATACCTTTTAATGGTAGCTTATTGATCTGCATGGAATGCATGTATCAGTAATGCTCTTTGGGGAAAAAAAACCAGCTCTCAAATATTTATGGGTAATTTTTCTTTTTTGTTCTGGAATAAGAAATCTTTAGACATTGGTAAATAAACTATATAGAAGGATCTCCATTGGAGCTCCATGTACTAATAGGGTGGGTTTCACTGGAATGAATGCATCTATTCTCTTTTTTTCACAGCAGTGGGGTAAATATTCTTTCAGAGACCGAATTGTGAAATTGCGAGTTAGAGTTGGAATTACTGTATGCATTGGATATGATTCCTTTGGAGTGAAATATGCTTGTAATATTTTTCCCAGTCCTGTGTAGTATTTATAACAGAGGCTGGTCCATGTCACACTTATGCTGTGTTTGTATTTATTAGTCCTTTGGAGCATGAAATAAAGGGGGTTTCACTGAATACTTACGTATTTTCCAGCAATTTTGGAGGGAAGAATATTTTATAGCTTTTGCAATAAATTATATATTAAGAAAGAGCAGAATTACTTCTTTGCATAGCTCGCCTGGAATATGGAAAACAATGCAACTGTGAGTTTTATTACCTAGGGTAGCCAGTCTGAAAGCTGCTAAACCAATGCATTTTATGGGTGCTTATCGGTAGTTTTCCTAAGTCTTGGTTAAACATTGGCAGGAACGGTTCTATGGTACTATCATATAATTTAAACGATGCCATGAAAATTGGCAAAGAATTGTGGGAGTTCCCAAACCATATACTTAGTATGAAATATGTATATTTTCTAAGACCTTATTAAGATAGTATCTAGTTTTATGGTACCCCGGTAAGTAGGACTATTCAAAAGAAAGGCTCTTGGGGTAAATACAGACTTTTTTTTTTTCTGTACTGGAGTTAGGGCCCAGGGCTACATGCTCTTGAGCTATACCCCTAGCTACGTTTCCATTCTTAATGGTGAAGTTCTCTTCCCATTTGTTAGGAGAAATGGACTGAGCATTTCTGGAGCTGCAAGTGATTCAGAAGAAGCAAGTGGTGATTGAATGGAGCAGCTCTCTGGGTGTGTATGTGTATGTGTATGTGTATGCGTATGCGTATGTGTATGTGTATGTGTATGTGAGGGGGTTGGCACAGTTATTGATCCCTGCACACTATCTCCTGAGTCCTTGGGCTTTCTGACCTTACTAGTTTGTTCCCTGCTGGACAAAGAAACAGGTGGTCAGTTTTCAAGTCCCTTCCCTGCCATCCACAAAGCCAAATCTTTG